TTTACGTAGCGCGTACGCCGTAAATACATGGCGCTCCAAGCGGTGTGCGCCAGAAGCTATGGTAACCGCAGCACAGCTGACGGTCTATATTTAATTCTTTTTGTCTATGATAAAACCAACTTGTTTAATTGAAACAGCTGTTAAGATTCATTAATTCCTTTTAAATGTGAAAAATCATAAGGTTAACATGGGAAACTCCAGGGCCACTGGGCCGGAGCCCGAAAGCCCGATCAGAATAAAAACTACTTAGTTTTCCTATTTAATGCCCAAAGAATCGGTGTACCGAATTTCAGCCTCCTAGGTAAATGGGAAGTGGGAGAATTAGTGATGAGTGAGTGAGTCAGTCAGTGAGTCAGTGAGGGCTTTGCCTTTTATAAGTATAGATGATGTTACTGACAAAACTATTTAATTTAAACATGATATTCTATCTAATTTTTACCGTCCATTTTTTCGATTGTTGCAAACAGTACTAAAAATATAAACCTGATCATTTAAAAAATCCGCTATTTCTAACCTCAAACACGTCCGTCAGGCGTCCGAATAATTGAAAAATATCGGCGAGAAGAAATCTGAAATTGACTGACGGAACTGCGTCTGATGACTGTAGATAGCGCAATAGAAAATCCATTCAAGAAATTTTTATTTCTGTGACGTGGCTGATGTGACTAAACTGTGACGTGCCGTAACTGACATGTGTGAATCGACCACTGAAGCAATTGTACATGTACCAGGAGATGGTATCTTATATATTTTTGCAAAACTTATGACAGCAAGCCTGACCATACTACCGAAATTACACGCGGGCTGTACAAAAAAAAGGTTATTGGTCATATATGTGCAGGTTTTATTTGTATTTTGAAAATATTTATTTTTTATTATTTGAAAATAGTTTTTGGGTCAAAAATGGAAATTCAACATTTCTTATGGAGATTTAACACGGGGTTAATTCTATATATTAATAGACAAGCATGTTTGTTGAAAACATTTTTTTCTCAGCTCCTGTGCATCGCAGGAAAAATCTACGCATACTTTTAAAAAAATATTTGACTGTAGATGTGCAGAATCCCTTTAAAAATTAAAATAGGCAAAAAAAACACAAAAAATGAATCATAAATTTAAAAAGTTAACATGGACCTTATGGATTGCCATGTTGGTGACGAAGTAACAACAAATTATAAACAGAAAATCAAAACAAATGGAAGACATTCCAATCACATGTTTTATTTACAGCGTGGGGTGAAATAGAGAAGTTTGCACAATACATACTTTTGGTCGAGTTTTCTACCACTGGGCGAGCTCTAGTATTAATGATTGTAATAAACAATTTGGTCAACTATGGCAAAATTATTATACCCTACATCTTTTTTGGTTAACTATATTTTCCCTCTCTAATAATCCTTTATAATAATGAATAGAATCAGTTACATGTGGTTATTTTCTTGAAATCATTTAATTAAAATTGTATATTATAATTTGGTTTCTCGATTAATTTTCTTCATAAATAATAATAATTTTGTAGCATAATGGTTTACGTCTTCTTAATCTTCATTATTTGGCGTCCTTACTTTTCTTCTTCACTGTCACACATGCGTTTAAGTTGTTTTTAAAGCACCCAAAACAGCTGATTGTTGAATACTTTGTTTTTTGCTTGACTTGATGACTGAATTGAATAGAGGAAACTTATTATTTAAAATCATATAATATATAAAGTCTGTATGACGTAGGCACTGAAACTCTGGGTTTCCTTCCATTCAGTGAATGCAACTAGCAATACACGCTGGCATTGGTGTGGTATATCAATGTTAAAGGGACATTTTTGACATGTTATGAATAATAAAATGGAAAAATGTTGTTCATGAACAGTATTGATTTACGTTTCGATGTTTAGTCAAAATTATATATTTTGTAAAAATCATCAAGTAGTAGGACTACTTCTTCTCTGTTACAGTACAGACAGATATGTGTGAACCGTGCACCATTTTTAAGTTTTGTCGTCCTTATAGAATATCTAAAGACGATTATTCTATGGTGAGTTAAGTTATGTTGTGTAGAAGACATTTTGCTATTTACGAATATTTTGTATTCAACTTACAAAAGTATATCAAGTATAGCTGAATGATTATTAACTTTAGCCTGTCCTCTATTAAAAAAGAACGGGTGAAAAACTAATCGATAAAAACCTTTAGGAAGATTTAGCCGACATCAGCTCATTCTAACCTTAACAACTTGAAGAAAAAAACAAGGGTCTTTAGAATTTATAACAGGATGTGATGTTTACTTGCACTTATAGCCAGTAACTCGATGGACTTACAATTCTTAAACTTAAATACTCGATTTAATTCTTTTATCTGAATCAATTATTGTTATTTTATATCTCAAATACCCTCACCGCAGCAAGCCTGCAGACTAAGGGAATTTACATTTTCCTGAATTGATATTCAATTGAATCCATCTACTGTAAATAGCATTAGGTTTAACGAGATCTAGGTTGGTTGCTTCAGGGGGGCAAGTATAGTGTGTTTTTTTTTTAAATAATAATAGCTTAGTATAAATAAATTCCAAGTTTGATAAAATATTTCGTTACACAAGGAAGCTAAATAATTTTAAAATATCTACATAAAACATGGGGATTTAAAATTTAAAAATTTTTCGTCAAATTACATTTTTTTGGTAACCAAAAACCGTACAAAAACACTTAAATATAATAAACTAGCCGTTTACCCGTGCTTCGCAACGGGAAGGAGGCACAAAATACTGTAGAAACATCTAATGCATAAAATAGTTACACATCCGCCAACGCGTTTGGAAACAAAATTCAACCTTTATGGCCTTAACAGAAAAATATAAGTTATGACTTTTAAATCTGGTAAGTAATGGAAACCGCCATTTTCGTTTTATTTCATTTTAAATATTGTGTAGGCTGATATGAAAAAAAAAACGGACATAATTTTCAAATAAAATTTGATTTACCTTCATCTCCTTTAGTTACACATCATTTTTTTATTTTAAACATTTTAAATCTCAATCTTTAAGCTGCAAAATACAAATAGAATCATAAATAAATTTACAACATACAATTTCAATTACAATTTACAAATCATTTTAGTCAGTGACAGTGATAAGAGAGTGCTGGCCAGCCTTTACAGTTTTTACCAATTTTATCATTTTTAATTCAATTTTAATAATTTGATCAACATGACTAGTTTTTACTATTGTGAATCTGACAGTATTTTAAAGAATCTTTTGACATACCACAATGTATTAATACAGTGAGATGTGGTTGCATACAATGACCTGACGATGTTCTAAGGAACGAAACAAGTTGTCACAATAGCAACTGTGGTTGGATAAGGTAATTCTTCCATTTTATCAATTATATATTCCAACCAAGGGTCACAATGAATAACATTCATAGTTAAATAAGTCCATACGATATCACAAAACATTGTTTTAATATTTCAATGAAAAGTGTAAAGAAACACAGACATTATTAATCCTGAAAGTTACAGTAGCATAAGTAAACATATTACTAAGTAAGTTATCACAGTGAAAAAAATCACACCACCCATGTCCCTTATTTAAACTAAAAAGGTTTAGTGTTACGATAAAGCTGATATAGTATGAGATCACTGGTGCATACATACTAATTTATAAACATTCTCATAATAAATAATTTAGTTTCTTTCATCATCACACTGAACAATGATACAGTAGTAGTTTGTGCTTAAGCCAAACTTCAGCATAAATCTACTGATTTCCTTATAGCAATTGTGTTTGAGGTATAACTTACGGAATTTCCTAACAATTCATATCCATTAGGCAAGGAATACGTTGGAAGAAAATGACAAACAACTTTTCAGTCGTAAGAGGAAAGTCAGCTGTTTTAGTCAGATATGTAGCTGAATAGAACATGTTTTCTCTATTTTGTCTATAATAGCATAGACAAAAAGCATTAAATATAGACTGTCAGCCGTGTAGTGGTTACCATTGTTACCATAGGTGCTGGCGCACACCGCTGGGAGCGCCGTGTAGTTACGTAGATCGTAGGCCGTAACTACAAGCGCTCCCAGCGGTGTGCGCAATAACCTATGTTAACTGCGGCACAGCTGACGGTCTATATTTAATTCTTTTTGTCTGTGATAATAGTGTTATGGAAGTTAATAATAAGGTTTGTTGGGACATTTTTATAACGGTGACACACCAAATTGCAAAGATGAGTTATGGATCAGTTTTAAATGAATACTAAGATAGCATTGTTAGTAGGATCAGCTGTTTCGTCAGCCATGTTCGTTGACAACCCATTGATTAAGGAAAGCTAGATTTAATTTTCAGCCATCATTTGTACTCATTAACATGATCGAAGGACCAACTTTTATATCACTTTATATCATAATAAATGAACGTTTTCGTTTTCTATAATTTTGAAATAATTGTAAATTTTAGTAATAACTCCACCTTTTTTTCCTAGGCCGCTAGGCATGAGCCCGGAATTGTTTTTCAAATTACTTCAGGCTAGACCTAGGGGTTGTGACATTATCACATGGATAAAATCCATTGGTGATTTGGCGGGACTTTAACCCGGGACCTTTCGAACCGAAGTCCCGCGCTCTAACTACTATACCAGCTCGCTCCCCCAATAAATCCACCTAGGGATGATAAGCATTAGAAAAGTCTGTCACCCTTCTCCGAAGGCTTGGTACTGTAGTTAAAACATAAATTTCCATAAGAATCTATATAAATAAAAATGAATGCCTTTTTTATGGTGTTCCATAACTCGAGATCGAGTGCACCGAATTGGATGATTCTTTTTTTGTTGTGTTGCTTAGTGACAGGGGAAGGGTTTTATGCAATGCAATGCAAATTTATAATCCAACTAACCGTTAGGGAATAGTTTGATTTTTAAAAAATTTAAAAAAATTAATTTACATTAGCTTAGGAGCTTCAACGAACTTCAACCTGGAGGCGAGTGAGCGTAGGGAACTAGCTAACCCTGTAAGTGAGTGAGCGCAGCAAACGAGCTCCAGTGCGTGAGCGTATTAAACGAACTTCAACCAGGACGTGAACGCGCGATGCGAACGAGCTCATCTTGAAAATGAACGAGCATTTGACATAAAACCACATTAGGACAGGACGACGTCTGTCGGGGTGTCGGGCCAGCTAATATTCTTATAACACATTATTTTACTGCCTTAAAAAATTAATGCCCACCTTCTAATTTTAAGGTACCGGTTCTGACCTTGATTATTGGGCTGCCAATTAATGATGCAATCCAACAAAATGTACCCGAGGAGTCAACAAACTCCCATCAATAGTTTTACTTGCCATTTTAAATAAGAAGGATGGATACCAAATAAAGTAAAAAATTAAACATTATTTGAGGGGTTCAAGGAGACTAATCAAAAAAGTAACCATGTAAAGAATTAACCTTTTGATAGTAAAATTATTTACAAGATCCTTAAAAATTTCAATTCCTCTGAGACGATCGTGCAACACTCTGTAACAATCCTTCCGTCACGAAATCCAGAAAACTTTACTAACCAATTATAATCTGGACAATCTAGTTGCACATTATTCCATATGGGCAATCCATACGTAAAATATTGTGTAAATTTATACACACAACCCTTACACAGATCTCAACCCTGTAGCTTAAATTCTAAATAAAGCCCCTTTGGTTAATTGCTAGGGAAGATGATGTATGAGTCCGTGTTGAGGTCCACCGTAGGTTTGGTTGTCATGTCCATGTACACCCCGTACTTCGCCAAGGAGGATGTGATCCATGGCAGCATGGAGGAGACGTTGGTGTAGACCCCTGGAAGGTCATCGCCACAGTTGTACAGCCAGGAGACGATTCCAACCAACTCCATGTTGGGCCTGGTGAGGGGTCCACCGGAGTCACCCTGTAGGGGGAAAAAATGAATCACTATACTCTGTATGTTGGAGCCTGCCTCCTGGTATTGGGACTGGCTAATGTTTTAAGGATTGGACGAGTTCCAGGTAGATAGAGGGTCAGTAGACAGGTTCCATTATACAGACTATACAGGTTTTAATGATCTATCAATATTCTTTAGGAGGCAAAGTTCAAGCCCATAAGTCTAGAGGATAACTTCCATTGGTCATTGGCGGGATTTCCACCCAAGACTTCAGGGACCGAAACTCCGAGCTCAATCACTAAGACCAGCTCACTCTCAAACCTGAGATCACTGGACTGGCTGATTAGTTCATTTGCACAATCATTGCGGGCATTTTGCATAGGCCTACATTTCTTTTAACGCATTGAAAAGTAAAATTTGTACATAAAAAACCTTGGTTGGGTGGTGAACCAATATATTCGGTAATTATTTGTCTTAAACATTATCTGTCTCAGTTACGAATTATAAAATAGATTGTTTAAATTCAATGAAATAATTTACGTTTAGGGAAGACTGTACGAAAAACGAGCAAGGTGAAAAGGTAAACTAGAATTCTGTTGCCAAACAGAATGTTGTTCACAACACCACTAACTCGCAGATTTCGTGCGTTATTTGTTCAAGGTTTATATTTAGCACCCCAAAAGGTGGCTGCTACCACCCTGCTTTGCTGATATAAAAGAACAACTGTTTCCAAGGTACTCAGCTGTTAGGTCTGTTAAATGTGTGTCTCAAAGTTTACAAGTGGCACTCATAGTTGATGCAATCTATGTCCTTTACACCCTACCCTAAAAAGAACTATTCCCACAAATTATATGTCGAGACTAATACAGAGAAAATAGTCAAGTAGTTATTGAAATACAAATAATCAATCAGCAACTCACGCTGCAAAAGCCAATGTCGTCTTCACCGGCGCAAAGCATGCGTCGAGTCAGCTGAGGGTACAACTTCTTGCAGTCGTCCCAAGACCTAATGTAGACTTCAGCTGCCACTAGGTTCTTCGGCTTCCTCAGTTGTTCCTTCTAAAAAAACAGTTTTAAAACAACTCTTCAATTGTGTTTGGTTTTTAGCAATTCTTCTAGTGTGTTTTACCTCGTTGAAAAATACTAACTTCCGTCTCATGAACTACCAGCTGTGACCAGCTTCTCTTGAACGATGTTATATTAATTAGTCACCAGTATCTTATAATTCCGTTGAATCATTACTAATAAGGCTTGGTTAGACAAGGTAAGATCTTGGATAGCTTAGGAAAGTCAACAAAATAGTGGTGATAAATTAACAAAAAGGAATCCAGAACTACATTCAATGAAATTTATATTATCAAAGCCGATGAGGACATTCCAGAACGAAGACTCGAAGGAACGCTTTCTGTGAATAAGTCCATGTATGATGAATGATCAATCTGTCTTGGATGATTACGTGTTAAACATTCAAAAGCGTGAAAATTTAAACGTTAAATAAAATGTTCTTCTTGAGAAATCAAGATCACATTTTGCACACCAAGCATATTTCCAACCACCTTGCATTCCTCAGAACGATACGTGATTAGGAATATTCACATGCAAGCCAACATCAGAGAGTTTCATTATCAAACACATCTCCCTCACTCCAAATTACTTTTGTACTCTTCAGCCAGAAATACATTTTTCATAATTTCCCCACACATTCTTTTAGGAGGATTCACCATTCGAATATAATATTTTTGATAAAATTCACTCCAGAGAGTTTAAAGATTCCAAATTACCTCAAGGTATCCCCAACCCGAAACGATCGCCAGCTCATGCTCCACTGGTGGACTCCTAGGAAGCGATATAGGCTTGATCTTTGGCCCGAAGCGGAAGGGAACTTTGACGTTGACAAGAGCCAGGTCGTAGTCCAAGGTGTCCGTGCGGTACAGGTCGTGGTAGATGTAGAACCTGATGGGGTGAAGGGTTCCACCATCCCCTCGTACCGTCGTCCCTGCCCGGAACCGGAGCGATTTCAGAGGCTTGCTGGAAATCAGACAAATCAGACTGATGAATTGTTTGATAACGGTTTTGTGAATGGTGAGTTAAAGGAATATAGGTTTATAAGTTAAAGGTTGAAATAACATAGCTGGGAGCAGAATGGATAAGGATTCCAAGTGAAAAGTTTACAAATTCGGTCCTGATAAAAATCAAAACTTTTGAATGGTTCAACACTGGACCTGACTGCTCTTGATCATTGGGCTTTTGAAAAACTGCATAGCTTCCTCCAATAGGCTACCAGTCCGCGGCGAGACAAAAGTGGCAACGCCGCAAACCAGGCCTAGTAAAATAGCTGCGCAATGTTTATGTTTACAAATTAGTTGTTGATATTACCATGGCAACAGCCTAGCCGGTGCAATGTTGCCACACACCAACGCCTTGTGTCAGAGGAATGATATGCAAATGGTCCTGGCTAGAGAACCACCTGTCTAAGCCAGTTACAAAGCTTCACTTTAAAAATAAGCACTTTGGTGTCAGCATAAAATAATTTATTACTGTACAATGTAAAACTATTATGTCTGTTGGTCGAACTCGAGTATAACTCTAATAGGCAACTGAATAATGTTCAATGATTTTTATATTTTTTCTTACAAGCTCTGTGTTATGTGATGCAAGGTGTTTACTGAAATCGATATTTAACTGTTCAACGTGGTTCAAGTAATTCTAAATGTATTGATACAAACGTTTTGGAGTTAGGACATCAAACCATACACATGACCGAGACTTGGGTTTGGAAGGAAAATAAATATTTTAGCCTTTTCCTCATAGCTTTTGGTGTGGTAAATAAGATTAATAAATAATAAGAGGAAAATTATCTCTAGATGACATCTGACGCAGAGGCAAAACCGGTAAAACTGGAGTTTCACTTGGCAATCTTCATAAAGAACTGTATAGTGAGTCCAGTAAAAATGCACCGTGATCGTATAGAAGATAAAACTCAAGTTTGAATTTAGTGTTTAAAAGTGTAGGACAAAATATGTTTGGTTTTTCATAACACGAAAATAAATTTTTGGGAGTTTACTTTAGCTAAAAAAATTACAAATCTTTCAAAATTGACATCGCTAGTACTTGAGCAAATTACCTTTTTTCCACTTAGGTTCAAAAAAGGTCCAAAGTTCAAAAAAGGCGATACAAATAATCCAACAAACTACAGACCGATCACAAACCTACCGGCCCGATCAAAACTTCTCGAAAGAGTCGTCTACAACCAAATTTAGAGTAGTAGTAGAGTAGCAATAGTATATTTCGTACCTAGGGTCAAAGATTAGGTTTTACCGGCTCGAGATAGTTTTTAAGTTCGAGACGAAGTCAAAAACTTAAAAAACTATCGAGGTGCAAACCCCTTTCGGTCCGTGGTACAAACGTTATTTTTCACCACACTATACCCTATTTACCACAACATAATGCACTAACAGTCAACACAACTACAACTTTAAGGTTATGTGAATAAATAATTTGAGGAATCAGCAAACATAATAATAAATAGTTGCTAGGCAGCGGTGACGATAAAACAAGTCTATTTCAATACTATGGATACTGATTGTGTATATAATATGCAGCTTATTTTCGTCCCTAGGTATGTAAAAACCTGCTCGGCCCCGAAATAACGATCTGGCATAGACAGCAATACGTAGCGCTCGGCCTCCAATTAGCGTTTGTAATCCAGCTAAAACATCATAGTATGGTGAAAATGGATTTACAGATATGTTTTATAACTATTTGAATAGAATATTTAGTTTTTACTCACTCACTTATAGACACAATGAGCGGCTGTCAGTGCCCAGCGGGTAGCCAGCACCGATGCCCCGCATGTATGCTTGCCATTGGGTGCCCCTTCTAGAGCCAGCTGATGAAAAAACAAAAATAACATTTATTTTCGATATTCTGAACGGTTCATACCATGGTGTCCTCCGTACTAAGGCGAGACATGAAGTGGCAACCCCGCAGATCCGGACTGAAACAGCTGTTGCACTAATTCACAATGGAGCGTCTGTGAAATGTTCATGTTTACGTTTGTTTTTACTGTTATTACCATAATAGGTCGGCCGGTGCAACGGTGGTTCCAACACCTTGGGCATGTAGAGGAGATTTTGTCCATACAGAATAGCTAAGGTCAGTTTGGTAACTGAAATAGATAATACATCGGTATTGGCAATGACTTTCAAAGAGTTATTGAAAAAAGAATTTTTGACTTTGATTAGTGATCATTGTAACAAATCTATTTAGATTGTCCAATCTTCGACAGATTTAAGTAGTTCATACAGGAAAATTAGAAATAAAGGAGTAAAACCATGCTTTTATTAAAGAAAAGAGTTAATCTATATATATAAATATATAAAATCCTCCGAAACAAACTTCTAGGACAGGATAAACAACCGAACAACCAGTTCATCAAAAGCATCATTTTTTGACAACCTCCCATGCAATTAGTAAATGTAGATGTAGTTATTCATGTTAAAGATTTCGAACAACCAGTTCAGAAGCATCATTCTTGACAACCTCCCATGCAATTAGTAAATGTAGATGTAGTTATTTCTGTTGAAGATTTTAAACAACCAGTTCAGAAGCATACTTTCTCGACAACCTGCCATGCAATTAGTAAATGCAGATATAGTTATTCCTGTTAAAGATTCTAGACAACCAGTTCAGAAGCATCCTTTCTCGACATCCTCCCATGCGGTTAGTAAATGTAGATGTAGTTATTCCTGTTGAAGATTTTAAACAACCACTTCATCAGAAGCACCCCTTCTCGACAACCTCCCATGCGATTAGTAAATACAGATGTAGTTATTCCTGTAGATTCCAAACAACCAGACCATCAGAAGCGGTCTCAAAGGCAGCCAGAAGATTACAGACAAATCCAAAATCTTACTTGGAACGGGCGATCTTCGACAGTGGTCTGGTATCCTCCTATGATCCTTTTGTCGTCACCTAAGGATGGAGAAACTAGTCCCCAAGCCACTAAAATAAAATAAATATAATATAGTTTTGCCTCAAATAAAATACTGTTCTACTCATCAGTTTCTTACTTGGTAAGGCATTTCAAGCTCGAATGTTTCGTAGCCTCCGATGATCCTGTTCATGTCTACCGAAGACATCACATAGGCCGAGGCTCCTAGGGTAAAAAAGATCATTATCAAGATAGTTTTGACATTAACACCTTATTTTGATTTCAATAGAAAATGTTTATCACGAGAAAGCATATCAGAATAGTAAATATAAATACTAGCATATTGTGTAAAATATTTTGATATTGCAATGCCAATATTTTTAATGTCACTGACATTTTTGGACATAATCGATTCCAAACCCTTAAATTTATTGTGGAGTTTCCGAGGGTCAACCCCGCCATTATTGAACTGAAGTATGAGACGCTAAGATACGTCCAAACCAAATTATATTTTATGCTGTTATTTTGGCGTAGACCAATTTTTAAACCAATTGCCAATTTTTCCCTTCAAGACGTATGTGAAAGTAGACTTCTCGATTTATGTAATGAACAAACTATAAGTAGTTACAAATCACTGTTAATGATTTTCTGTACCATATTGCTTGCAAACGCACAATCCTTTAAAATTTAAAGAGACATAAACTGTCACGAACAAATGAGATGAATAGATATAGATTCAACATACACCTTCTTAGTCTATATTTGTACAGTAGCATGGACTAACCAACACAAGGGAGTATGTTTAATCTATGGTTGTAGTCTGGTTAACAATAACAATTAAATTAGTTCAATTTAAGCCGCAGAGTGCACTGAGCTGTTTTAGAATACACTTTTCTTCCTTATGAAGCTCACCTTTGAACCTTGTAAAGCTTAAAGGTCAACTTTTATTCAACCAGGGCGTCCAATAAATTGCTATAAACTAGTGATCGTAGTCTAAAAAATTAAGAAAACCTTAATTGTATCACACACTAGGAGAGTATGATACTCCCTCATTCATCTAAATTTCTTCTTTGACCAAATAACTTTGTAAAATTGTAAACACTACCCTAAAATAGAAATATTTTGTTGACATCAGCGCACCGAAACTCTAAAATTAAACAAAAAACAATGACAATATGGAAACAACAATGAACAGTCTATTTGCAATACAGTATTTAAAGTCAATCGTTAATAACTGTTACAACTACCCCTAATATAAATGGAATGTCTACTTATCTAAATTATGTACCTTAAATACATCAATTCATTTTCCCACAAAACAAGCCAATTTTTTACATAAACAACTTAGTTTAAAGCAGAACATTTGTATAATCAATTTTATGACATAAGCACAAACAATTAACTTACCAAGCATGAAAACTAAAATAAGTCCTGGCATAACAGGAGAATTTTCAATAGCCATGATGTACTCCTTGTACTGTTCACTGCAATAAGCTGTGCTGAACTTGTTCTACTGCCAAGTTCATATACAGCGTGTAACAATCTTATCACCACACCGCGTCATTGTAATCTTTTATTTAGGCGTAACCATCTTGAACCGATTTAATCACCTGTAATCATAAAAAAGTGTGTCACATAAATGGAGTTCCCGTGTTGGCCCAATTGCAGCAATATTTACGATGTGTCACAATTTAATGACTGAGTTTCTACGCTTGTGCCGTAAAACACAATCACATTGTTGTGATTGTGTTTTTCTCACTACAATGCTGGATGCAATTCAAGGTTTAAAAGGTAGGAATACACTGAGACTGATAAAAAAACTCAGACAGTGAAAGATCTTTGCATTACTAAAGAAAGAAAAGAAACTGAGATTATACTGTAATTGATTAACGTTAGATTAGGTCACTACAACACACCAACAACTGTCAACACAAATACAACTTTAGGGTTATGTGAAGAAATAATTTGAGGAATCAGCAAAAATGAAAATAAATAGTTGCTAGGCAGCGGTGACAATAAAACAATTCTATTGCAATGCTATGGATACTGATTGTGCATTTAATATGCATGTTTTTAGAAAGAAAGCGGTTGATTTTGGGGCCCCAGGGATGTAAAAACCTGCTCGGTCCCCAAATGACGATGACAAGCTGGCATGGCCAGCAAAACGTAACTTTCTGCCACCAATTAATGTATGTAAAACAGCTAAAAACATCATTGCGTGGTGAAAAGGTTTTTACTTCCTAAGGAAGTAAAAAGCGTTTTTAGCCCCTAGGGAGTAAATATCAGCTGTTGTCAACTTAGTTCTAAATGTCGATTGCAAACAAAATGCATGTATCGAAAGTATGTATTGATTGTTTAATCGATAGCAGTTAATTGCTTGCCTTATTGTAAATAGTTCAACATATCGATAATATAATGTACACTCGTAATACATTAAACGATGGAATCACTTACTCAAAAGTTGGTTTCCATTACCAAATTAAATTGAAAAAAGCTAGAAGTAGTTTTGAGCGGTTGTCTTTCAATGAAAACTATTTTAGTTTTGTAACATAGTTTGTTCAAATAATGTTGCAATATGACGAAAAAATATAATTCATCTATTAGAAATATAATGTTCATCTACGTGAATATGAATGTTCAATGAATGAGATGTCGGCTGCTATACTTACTTAGTCCTCTGATCAGCTGGTTCTCTATCGAAGACTATTTAGAATACATATGATCAAGGAAATCTAGGCCTAATTTCAAACAATCCAAATTCTTTTTGGATTTTCTTATGGATCAATGTTTCGACCATCTGATTATCAGGTGAGCAGTGTAGGTATAAATATTTATAAAACATTGGTGTTTCTAGGGTCTAGAAAATGACGTAGTATTGCTCAAAGTATGCCGATTGAAATGGTTATATATATTTTAAAATGTTTGTTTTGATTTAATGTTTGTGTTATAAAGTGCTCGACAGTGGGACTATGGTTGTGATTGGAAAAATAATGGTGATAAAAATAGACAACTTATAGCTTTGAATCATACCGGAGCAGGTTTACGCGATTCTCCTTGAATAATAGCAGAAATGATTGCAACTGTAGTAGTGCAGTTTGAAAAATTACTTTGTGGTCAGTAGGAAATTAATTAACCAATGGGACAGTATCATTAGATTGTATGATGTATGTATTTCTCTAAACATGGCTTGGGAAATGGGAAGAGAGAGGTTAATATTGCATTACAAAGAGATTAAGTTGACTTAGCAATAATTATATTAGTGTCGTGAAATAAGTTTTCAAATTCATAATCCAACGTTTCTTTAATTTATTTGACGAAATTTACCAATACAAGTTGCTTCACATCACTCGCCATTGACTCATAAGTCTCTACGTCATATTTGGGGGTTTAAAGAATTTATGATATCTTTTACTACTCATTGTATAATATCAATGATAATACTAAGATACGCCGAAGTGATGATATCAGTGGCAGTGACGATATGCTATCAATCGATGCCGTCACTAAGATATAGGAAACGGAAATGACGAACTACGAAATGGTAGGGTTGACATTTTGTAGATAAAATCTCTTGGTTTGGTTTTACTTCACATCTTAAATGGTAACAAATCAAAATATTTCAAATTTTTCATTCCTTAAGTTTAGTACAAAATTTATTAAGGGGTTACCAGTTTAATAATGGGGTTTTTGGTGGTTCCATAGACAAAAAGAATTAAGTATAGACTGTAAGCCGTGCTGTGATTACCATGGTTAACATAGGTTCTGGCGCACACCGCTGGGAGCACCGTGTAGTTACGTAGCGCCGCGCGTATGCTGTAACTACATGGCACTCCCAGCGGTGTGCGCCAGAACCTATGGTAACTGCAGCACAGCTGATGGTCTATGTGATTTTTTTTGTCTGGTTCTAATCTGTATTTTCAACCCAGCTGTTCTTGGGATAATGAATGGTACTGAATCAAACAAATAAATGGTGAAAAAGAGACGATGGTGTGGATGACAAATGGGGTACAATGGGATAAATGAGACACAATGGGACATATTAATGGAATATTCAATGGCATAGCTTACGAAATGACACAAAACCTCTTCAACTTCAGCCAATACCTCTAACATAATCCACACGATCCCCATAAAACACGCAGTTATATCACGGGGTTAAACAATCCAATCCATTATCAGAATTGGCAATATTTTAATAAAGCTATAAAACACAAGGCAAAGGCTATCGTGCCGTGACCCTGATTACACAAGGAGTGCGTGATGAAAAAAGAATGTAAGTTGAGCACGCGAAGAGTTGATCAAACACGACTACACGCTCACGGTGTTTAAAAAGCAATTACAGGCATTTAACATTTAAAACACACATTGACTTGTTTGGCTTACAGGGTTTGATAGTGATATTGCGGTGTAATTTTGTCATTGGAGGATTTAGAGGTTGGTAAGGTTCACGAGACTTCTGTTCTGGGGATGACGGTTCAAGTCTTGCAAATCACGATTTCTAATTCGATAGGGTTGTGGATTGATTCGGTGCTCACCATAGCCGTGGATCTTGGGGAGCGTGAGTAGTAGAGCGCAGGGCTTAGGAGCACAAGGCCCCGGGTTCAAATCCCGCCAATCACCAATGGATTTTATCTATGTGATAATGCCGCAACTCCACAACCCAGGACTAGTCAAATGTGTAAAACCGTCCGGACTAGAACTAGCCTCCTGGGATGTGACGGTGGGACATAATAAAAAAAACTATGGATCTCAAAAAATAAAAAAAGATGGATTTCAGCCATGAAGAGTAATCTCTACACCGTAGAACTCTCTCGTTTGAAAATTAAATGATAATAATTTCATAAGTATTATTTCATACTTCATTGCATGATAAATGCATGTAGTGCTACGAAGAAATTGAGTGAACTATGAGTGCGGAATGGAGTCAAGATTACTTGTGTAGCTTCGTTACTATGATCAGCTGTTCTCTAGCAAGGACCATTTAAAAGCCATATGATCGATGACAGCTGGTCTAGTTATTAATCCTAACTCGAATGTATTATCGAGTAAAAGTGAATGTATGATTTGTCTGTTTAAATTTATGATTATATTCATGAATCTGTTTGACTGAGCATTGCATTAGTTTATACCTTTGGTTTGAACTCATTAACATCTTACATCTGATAAATTATCGGGATTTGTCCTCTAAGACACACATCTTGTTACGATTTTGTTTGAGAATTCCTTATTCCAAAGATGTTTGTTAGGCTGGGGCAGCCTGACCAATTAAAGTCCATTTTCCCTCAAATCGTCTTCATTTGACTCGTAACAACCATAATAAACCTCACGATTCTTAATTGTTTTAAGTGTTTGTATCTTTTCCTCCGAACAGCTGTTTGTATAATTAAATTAATAGGTTACGTAAAATTTTTAACGTATTAAATGTTTCGATCCATCTTCCACCATGGTTTCGATCTATAATACACTAAAACGGCATAGGTTCTTTAATAACACTCCTATAACAAATAGCTAACGATAATATTTTCGTAACTGTAGGCCCATTACATATATTTAAAATTGTCATAATAAATGGCTCTATTAAATTAGCATTAGGTACCGTCCTATTTCCGCCCCTAAACTAAAGATACTTGCAAATTTTGTTTAAAAACTCCTTTACATCTATTCATAGTAATTGCAATTCGTTATACAACCCTTGGCCATGCTTACGTGTTGTTCAACCCCTACCCGTGCATAAGCTTACTTTCTCCCACCATCTCTCTCTCTCTCTCTCACTCCTCTCTTTACCCTACCATCCCCGTCCACCAAAATATCCCGTATGGTACTGTTGGGGAGACAATATTTTGCCAGGTTCCACACAACTTGACAATTGTATGACCCCTGAATTTACGAGTTCAATAAGCCCAGTTGCCGTGGCTTCTTTTGAGCTCTTCCACCTCATAATTTGCATGGAGACGCAGCTAGGAATGTGACATTGAATAAGGATGAGAATGACATACGTGTTTAAAGCGTTGTTTAGGCAAAGACCATTTCCATGATACCGTATTCGTATATTCCAGTCATTCCTAAGGGTTTCTTTGAAAAAATATAGTTGTTTTCTGTTTATTACCAGATTCAACAAACAGAAATTTAAAAGGATACTAATTAAAAAATTGAAATAAATGTTTAAAGAAACTACTATTTTAAAGCCAAGTGTAAGCCACTAAAACAAATACGAAAAAATATTTTTCCTTCAAAATTTCAAATGTTATTAATATCTCAAATCAAAATATTGTAATCGTAACTTTGACTTCGTTGGAGGTGAAAAGAATAAAATTAATAGTTATCTTTGCACAATGCACATGGCATTTACTCAATAAAATACTAAGTACTAAAAACGTTTGGTTAGAGTGCTCATATATCCGAGTTTTGTTCAACCCAACTTAACCTGAAAATTCAGCATTGTATAGCTGTTACCCACGAGCTTCACCCCATTTGACTTCATAAGTATTAATAAAACTATTGATTGGTTAAGTTAAGCTGGAATAAACAAAACAGAATACAGTAATACAGACAAATAATCACACCTGATTTAAGGTAATAAATTTAAAGAATAACATACAAATAAGTACATCTGAGGTATTTTTAACATTAGGTATATGGAAAGTTACTTTTAGAAAGGAATTACTACCTTAAAGGGCAATTTATGAAATAATGGATAGTTTTACGCAAGGTTTCTCATAATGACGAACATTTGATATATGGTTTATGGGGTGTGACTTGTAGTTTTCTCAAAAGTTCATGGGATTACCAAGATTATTTAAAAATACTGCGCTTTAAGTAAATGTTTACTATTGTAATTCCTTAGTCTCGTTCACTCTCTCAAATATGCCAATATCATCACACCATCCAAACAATATGTTCTAAACTAAAATTTTAATTATTTACTCTACTTTCCTCGTACACCAATCCCTAGCAATAACAGCAAGAGTAATCTTACAACTCACTAAGATAAAACTTTTCCTCGTTTGCACACTGTTGACGTCACAGAAGCTCACTCCCTTATCACATGTTCACTCTCACAATGTTCTTTGTTTGTAAACACTCCGCGGAACGTACTGTGCTTCGCACTTCGCAGGTCGCTGAAGCTGGGGGAGCAGCATACTCTGGCGGTCCAGAGCTGAACTACTATGGAGGGGATTCCCGCCGACCTGCATTACAGCTGATTGCTCTAAATGACCTCAAAAGGACAAAGTCATTGTTGTGACAGCTGTTGGACGTTTGTGACAGTGTGTGTTGTAGTATTCGTTGCTTTAGATCAGAGCTCAGAGGTGATACTGAAATTTACTTGGTGTTTTGTGTTGACCATACGTTACGGGATCGGGTGTAGGGAAATGTAATTGTTGTGAATATCCTAAAAGTGATGGCTTTTGTGGTTTTGTGGTTTTTGTGGTTTTAGGCTAGATCATTGGTGACTCTAAATTGTATTAATTCAATTCATCTACGTTGTGTTGATCGTATGTTACTGCGAATTTCGTTAAGACATTGTTGTGAAGAATGCTAGTGGATGTTGAGCAAAAATATTGTATTTCGTCTGTGCGGTTGAGGGATTTTCTTTGTTTTGAATCAGCAATTTGGAAGTCTACTCAGTTATGTTGGTTCTGTTTTGTGTTCCCGATAGTTTGGTAAAGTCATCCTTGAGAAGAAACACTTTGTACGTGTTATTGTGAGGAATATGTGCTTGAGTGGTTTTCTGTGTTTCTATAGATAAGAAGTTATCTAAACATAACTCAGTTACTCATAATACAAAATTACAAAATGCTTTACAGGTTACTGAAAATGTGAACAGCTTCACTAGTGTGCATGAATTGGTTACAATGTTTAGAAATAGTTTAAATTTAATTTTTATCAAACGTTTACTTACGATTAAGTTGCTTGAGATGGCGGATCAATTCGAACAGTGTTAAGTGTTGGATGCACTAAGGAGTTAAGATGTAAACTTCGATCGTTGGAAATCTCAGAGTGTTTCCTTGAAGGAGGAATTTTGCAAGTCATCGCAACAAAACGTGCAGAGTCTCGTACGTGATTTAACAATGGGATTTGTAATACAAATTCTAGATGTGATTAATATGTTTATGGTTATACTAATTACTTATAACCATATTATCATAAATTGGTCTTGGGAGTTCCACAAGACAATAATTCGATGGTGGCACAATTTTATTGTAAAATACGAGGTTATGATCGCTAAAAACTATAGGTTGGCATACCTGAAGGTATTTTTGTAGCAACAAAATGTCCATTCGGAAATTTTACACATACACAAGTTCACTTGAAAGCCGCCCACAGATCCTTAAAGTACATATTTAACTATAAACAAATTCCTTTAATCTGTGCTTAAACCTACCGGTACTACATGACTGTATGAAGCAATATATATAAGATTATACATTGGAAGTTTGGTAACAATGCCAGAGCTTTGATCTTCTATTGGTTATTTAGGGCTCAACATTCAGTTATAAATTGCAGTTATCGTCGCCATTTGTCATTTCCACAGCCAAGGCCTCCTAGATCGAAGGTTGCGGTTGGTTTCTCGGTTGATCTGTAGATTGCGGAGGCAGTGACTTGCAACAAACGGTGTATGTCAACAAACCCATTAGGTTTATCCGGTTGCAGATTCCACGGGTTTTCCTCAACAGATTTGGAGGAGACAGGTTGGTTGAGAGAAAATAAACGGGAGTTTTGCTTCACTCAGTGTGAACTGGAGCACCTTTTATGTCCCGGAGTGCTCTAGTTAACAGTTCATTCAACTTTGTTAGTAATAAATCAAAATTATTGTTTATAACACCGTTTGCACACAAGCTGGCAGCAATGGAGCAAACAAATCGCAGCTAACATTGATGAAACGAGTATATTACATTCTAAACTACAATAGGTATCATAAATAATAACTCTGGAACAGCGTACAATACGGTTTCATATCGTTGTTTACTAAACCGAAATAAGAAGAAATATTAACCTCTGAATGTTTTTATGTAATATAATATTCACTTCATGTTTATGTTTTATTGTGAGTTAAATTTATTTTGACATTTGTTGTTCGACAAAAAAAGTTTTTTAGGTTAGTGTTAGTTAGTGTGTTAGTTTTTAGAGTCATAAATGGGAAAAACCCATTTTTCCCCATAAAACCCTGTTCCCATAGTCTGATCATGCCGGTTCGCGAACTCGTTCGAATAAATGTAGGTTTACACGTTTATAACAAATTTAATCAAAATAGGATAATTTTTACTCGAGTTATCGTGCTAACGAGCACACGCATATACAATAATCATAGTTTTCTTAATCACTATATATATGAATTTCAACGGATGGTGTTTTTGGCCTCTAGGGACCTCCTCAAAACGAAAAAGCAAATCGGTACCGGGTCCAGGTCTTACCATGAGTAGGTCCTACTAAAAACCATCCGGTTGGATTTTGCTAAAGGAAATAAAGTAGATACTGTACATGTTACTGTACTAAAATAGTATAATATAAAATATTAACATGTTTATTGCTAACAATATTGTACAAGTGTAAATGCGTACTGGTACGATAAATAAATTAATACACAGTCTTTGGTCGTTAGATTACAAACTAGGTTAATCTAGTGAAGTGCGTCAAATAAATTAAAAGTACAGTAATCTAAAAATTAAAGTCTAAGATTTGCTGCTAATTTAGGTAAACAACTCGTATAAAATAATACTATAAGGTGATTGAAGTAAACCATTGAAACTTTAATATTGTGAATGAAAAGGGTCTAGTATTAAATAGATCAAATGTTTTCCGACCTCTTACTTTTATAAGATAGTTTTACTGCTTTACAATATCAACCTAGCTAATCATTTTTCAAAATACTTAACAAAAGTTTATATGTTATACGTTGAGAATAAATTCACATGGTATATTCTTATTTACATTTTCAAGAATTCGTGATACAAAATTTAAATACATTATAATTATTTGGAAATTAAATGTGCAATAAGACGATTATTCGTTAATAATATTGTTATAAGATTGCACGACAGTTAAAGCTTAAGAGATTGGTAGTAGAAACTAGAGCAATCCCATTTAGGCAGTGTCTGTTTTGGGGGTGGGTTTTAGAGGGTTAAGTTTTCTCTTTCATTCAATAGTGAGTTCAGTAAAGAAATACTTTCAAGAGTATTATCTATACATGTGCTCGAAATCGTCCAATGATCCTGATATAAATACATTATCGCACATTGTGGAAGAAATTTCAACAGTTTATAAAATAAAATTCAATTCAACATTCAATTTTAGTTTCGTGGGTAGTTAGTTGTATGGATTAAAGTGGGTTCCAATCCACGACGTTACCGTACATGAGATAAACCTATACGCCATTGGCAAGTATTAAGTCCAGTCCGAAACAGATGTCCCAATCTTTAACCATCTTGATATTTTTTAAATTAAATAAACTACGAATGGTTTGAATATGGATGCCTACTTCAACAACAAACTGAACACAAATTGAAGCTGAGCTCTTCAAAACCTTACAAGGAAATGTTCAATTTATGGCATTTCCAACATATCTTACGTTAAGAACGAGAAGCTTACCAACAAACATAACTTACTCTATACTAGTGTACATCAATGTTCGTATACTCCAATCTTAGGGGTGGCTTTACACAGGGATAGCATTGAGGCTACGTTGCCTCTGTGGAGGTGCAGGAGCGGCCTTCTGCGCGGGGGCAGCGTTGGGGGCGGCATTGGGGGCGGCATTGGGGGTAGTGGCGTCAGTAGACTCAGCAGGCTTTTTGTTACCGCTGCCGAAGTTGAGACCCAACAATCCGGTCAACCAGGCTATTCCTTCCTCAGCACTTTCGTTGACAGCGTTGATCAGAGCTTCCTCAGAGTCTGGTTTGTCAGTTGTTCCTTCTCCTTCAGCCGACTCCTCGTTGGACTGTTCCTCACTCGAGCTGCAACGAGAAATTTAGTTGTATCGAATTTAGGGGATTCAATAGTTGTGGCTAATGAATGGGATTACCGATTGTCTTAGACAATATGAAAAGCTATCCATCACATTAGGGTATTCAAATTTTACCTTACCACAGCGTTTAAGTATTAGGGGTTTGGCCTTACCAACAGCTATTCAAAATTGGTATTTCATTCCCTCTGGTTACATTCAAAATTCTCATGACTAAGAACTTAATCAAAATAATCTGGGATGCCCCAGTGATATTCTACCACCGGATTATTTTGTGTTCCTATTATAAACGTTGAGTGACGAATTCTTCTATATTTAAGGTAAGTTTATTCACCCTTTTACTTATGATTTTGGAAAGCCGCTACGGTTTTATACTATAGTTTCCAGATCTTTTCTCATTTGGTTTATAACAGGCTTATCTAAAATAGTGATTGTGACAGTGATAGAACACACTAACACACTAATTCTTATGATTTACGGATCACCTTTAGAAGTTATCTGCTTCTATAGGCAGTAAATTGTAAACGGTTGCGATTTCCAATTCATTCTCAAAGAATCCCTCAAATATTTTTCTCTAGGCGTTTAGATGATTAAAATTAGTTTTACTAACAGAGTTTAAAATAAAGTACAGTATACAGACTATCGTACTCAATAAAGTAATTGTGAAATTTACCTTTGTTTGTTTGTTGTTTTGAATGTTAACTCGTAATGGCTGGGAACATTAAAAAATACACAAATCTGGCTTTAGGGACTAACGCGGAGTCTGGAAGATAGAGAATTTGGCCGAGTTTTGATCGTGAATTTACTTTAGAGTGTATCCATATTCAAGGTTCCAGCGAGTTTTAGTAGTTACAAATATACATTAGTCAAATGGCAGGATATCCTTCCGCCAGTAACTATTGAGTTGATGTTACCAGTTTTACGTTCTAGTTTACGCTCATTGGTTTCCGTTCTATTTCACAATTGTAGAGCAAAGTTAAAATGAATGCTATGAGAACCAAAATGCACGGTTGTTTTTGATGGATTAATCTTTTTCACTGATGCTTATTTCGTTAGAAACTGTATAGAAATGCGTTGGGATGATGTTGGTGATCAACTCCTTTGATCTAATGAAAATAATCCACCCAATGAGAAACAATATAATAACTTCAAAATTTATATTGGCAGTATACAGTTTCAATTAGGATTGATCAACTCACACAGATGCTTCAAAAATCAATTAAAGGTATTAAACATTTTTAAACTAGATACCGATACACTCTGTATTGTCCTAACTTTTATCTCCTTTTAGGCCTCGAGGCTTTATCTGGAAAAGCTAACAGTTTAAACAAGAGAACCCAGCAGCTTCACGCCGCAGAGGAGGCCTTGATAAACTGAGCAACTAGACAAAGGATCAGCCCCAGCGGGGCCTGGTCAGTGAGTGGCTGAAGAGAACATAGTCCTTACAGCCTCAGTTCAGTATGGTTTCAGCTCTCTGGACTGGAACATCACGAACTCATCACGTCATGGTCATTGAGTGAGCAGAGCGGTATTTCCACTATTCCAGGTTGGCTGATAAAATAAGCTCAAAACCAATAATAGTTTAATTACAGCTGTCTTGGAATCAGTTGAGCTCGAAGAGAAGAGACTCACTTATGTATCAACCAGTGACTCAGTGAGCATCGTTCTAAGGATTAGAAAAGAATAGGTGTCCTAGATTCATATCCTTTCTAGATGTGACTTTAAGTGTAGTTTTTTATGTCTCACCTTCACATCCTTGGACACTAGGTTCTAGCCTGGAGTTGTTTTACACATTATTTCATGCTAGTCCTAGAGGGTCGTGGCATTATCACATCATTCACATGGATACAATCCATTGGGCGATTGGCGGTATTTGAACCCGGGACCTCGCGCTTCGAAGCCCCGAGCTCTACCACTAGACCAGCTGGCTCCCAAGTATAGCAATCGTCTAACAATCTGAGGGTTGCTGGTTTGATCGCGAGGAACGTCTGCGTCTGCAGCTTTTTGATGACTCGAAACTGGACTCTTGAGGTAAAAAAAGAGTCATAGCCAAACAACAACCTGATCGTAGTCCGTAACAGAGCTGTCATTTCACTTCATTCCGAACCCACCATTGCATTAATATTCACCTTAAACTACGTACATGACTTAGGGCAGTGGCTAAGTTATTAACTTCAACTATTACTTTACCTGAGTACAGGCTCCCTTGTTGTATCCTCGCTCATCCCAGTTGGACCCATCTTGTAGCATCCCACGGGATACTGGGTCTGGACGTCACCCAGGAGGGTGGGTTCCATGACGACACAACCTCGTAGGCCGTCGCCCTCTGGGACCAACTCTGTAAACCTGGCGCAAACCTGGGCAAGGTCCGACAGGAGGTCGATGCAGGATGGCTCTGGGTTGGAGGCTGTAGAAGAATGTTTAGTTTTCCATTTGTTCAAATGTGAAATACCTTAATTATTAAATTAAACTAGAGTAGACATCCCATTTAGGTATTATCTGGTTGAATCGCAGGCATGGCTTTTTGGAAGTTTAGTTTGCTCTTTCATTATAGCTATAGTCTGTTTGGTGGAACTTGTCTCCTGGTCCTTTGCCTACCTGAAGACTGGCCCGGATCAGTTCTCAGGTAGACGGGGGGGGGGGGGGTTAGTCATACAGAGTACGGTCGTTTTATAAAAGTAGCTGAGTTTTGTCATCCCCTCAAGCATTTAAACTGTAAAAGATACCCAAGAGAACGCTGTTATCAGAATTTGTGCTAGTCCCACGCTAGTCCTATTATTTTGTATCGATTATACAACGTATATTGTTGAGTAAGTTTTTAAATACAAAGTATGATCTCCGTGCCGAAAAGACCATTTGAGATTAATTAATGAGCCATTTTAGTTTTCTGGGTTGGTGCTACACATGGTAGGTTTCGAACAACAGGGTCGTTGTACTGGGCTTATTTATCTAGGCTTAAGGCTTAAGTTGAATCTAAGAGGACGGATTATACGGGGAAACAAATGCCATGAAAGCCCAATTTGTGTAACAAGTGTGCGAAGTGGCACTTAACTGTACATAAGAGAAATCGTTTCTACATTACCATATATTCGGTAACATATATTGTTTAAGTCAATTTGTACCTTTGACTTGTTCGCTGTGGAGCACACTGTCTCCATACGAGACGTTCATCATCAGACCATCAGTTTGAGACAGATACTTCAACTTCACACAACCTGAAAAACCAAGACGTCATTATGAGCTAGAAGGTTATAATTGTAGGGCAATAGGGCATGGTAATATGAGTTAAATGTTTTAATTCATATTCGTTTAGAAATTGAGCTTCCTGTAAATGACTTTATTTTTAAAATACTTTTTACGTATTTATCAGTTGCATAACCAAAATCTTTGCAGCCTTTGCACACTTTTAGGTTAACACAGGCCAACGCGTAGTCACTGTACTTAATACATTGACATGAACTATTAAGTCATTAGGTCCAAAACATATCTTAGCCAATTGTCATAATGTAAAACCAAAACGCGTTTGCAATGACCAGTTTTGAAACTATGTAAGTTGTTTACGTGTTCTAAAAACTAACATTGAAGCTACCAAAGGCGATTCTGTAAGGTGTGGTCTCAAAGCTAGCATCAGCATTGCAATTTAAAACTGGAGATTTAAACGTTACATGGAAAAGCTTCACTGCGTGTGACAGGCTAAAAACGTTGAAATAGGAATCTATTGATGTTAAAATTTTAAATACATCAAGGATGTTTCATATTGGCTCTTGGATATCGAAGTAGAGACCCCCTCTCAGATTGGTGTCAAGTTTTCAAGCAAAATATCGTGCGAAACCATATCAAAGGCTTTCCACAGATCAAAGAAGACTCCAGAAGCAGCTCACCCTTGTCCAATACGTTTAAAACCCTATTGATCATCGAAAAAATTGCATTGACAGTGGATATACCTTAGACGAATCCAAACTGATTAGGGCAAAAGACTTTGTTAATATTTATGAAATTCAACAACTTGCTTAAAAAGGCTTTTTCAAAAACTTTGGAAAATGTTGATGTGATTGAAATGGGTTTGTAATTGTCAAGATATCGCACATCTCCTTTTGTGTACTAACTTCACTATAGATAGTTTTATATCGTCAGGAAAAATCACAGTTTGAATTGAATGGTTGATGATATTCACCAAAGGATCGACCAAAAAATCACAGCATGACGTGAGGAGCTTTTTTGTTTTCGTCTCATTAATTCTATAACTGAAAATCTTCTACATGGAAATTGAGTAGTTAAATAGATAGTCTAAGTTTCTATTGAAGTTCCTTACCTGGACCTCCCAAGTCTATGAAGGTGACGTTGAAGTTTACACAGCAATTGCAGATCATCCCCTCACATTTGCACTCTCTAGAGGCCAGCGAGGAAGTGCTTTCTTCCTTCTCCCCACTTTTGGCTTCTGGATCTATGTAGTCCAGGCCCCAGGAGAATATATCTAGAAACATGGTGATCATGTAAGTTAGTAAACCAGAGAGAGACATTTTTGGATATACAAGAACAGTATCAAGAGATTGTGACTGGAATCAGCGACATAAATGTTAAATGAGCGTTGATGTGGTGGACACTTGGAGGAAAATGTAGCACAGTATCCAAGGTAATATGTCTGAAAACACAGTGATAATTGGTGTAAAACGGGTAGTATTGAGGAAGTGATAAAACATAGGGGTTGGATAGTTTCACGATTCAGGAAAGTGTAGCTGGAAACAAAAGTCCATTATTTTCCAGAAAGCTGTCTGCAAACAAATAAATAATTGGAGAAGCAGTGATAATAATAATTTTCCGGAGGGGGGTTGTAGTGCTCGCCTTAAATATAAAGCTCGCTGGTTCGATTTTAAGCTGTAGATCGACCGCTTAGAAAAGAACCTCCGCGCTAATTCTAATAGCATTAGCATTAGCGCGCAGGTTCTTTTCTAAACGGTCGACCTTTAGATCGTTACTGGACCCAGATCCAATTTCATTAATTGTCTAATGTGTTCTAACAAAAAGGTTGATGTTAGTAACAAGCTCAGGGTTTAGTCAAAAATGTTAAGAAATTCTATTGGCGTCGATGCACATATAAAAATAAGAAATATCCATATTATCGAAGAGAATTTTTCTAGGAAAAGAGAGCTAATTAGAGAAACAGGTACATTATCTAAGGGAATGTATGCTGAAATCAGAGAAACTTAATCAAAAACAGGCACACTAGCATTGACTGCTACTAGTTATAAAAAAGTCAACGAGTGGCTGTACTTTAGTGTCAGTTTTACCTGTTTTACTCAACCTTAGAGTTTAAGAGTCCCAGAGTTTCCATAATGATAAGAAAGGAAACTTGGTATAAATACAACCTAAATAATATATCTATCTATATATATAAAAGGCAAAGCCCTCACTGACTCACTGACTGACTGACTCACTCACTCATCACTAATTCTCTTACTTCCCATTTACCTAGGAGGCTGAAATTTGGTACACTGATTCTTTAGGCATTAAATAGGAAAACTAAGCTGTTTTTATTCTGATCGGACTCTCGGGCTCCGCCCCAGTGGCTCTGGAGTTTCCCATGTTAACCTTATGAGTACTCATATTTAAATGGAATTAATGAATCTTAACAGCTGTTCCAATTAAACAAGTTGGTTCTGTTCTATGATGTTCAATAGCATTAAGGGCACAAGGATTACCAACAGGGTGCAGCACTATCATTTCTTTTACATTTATGACAACAGCTAATTTGCAACCAAAAGGTGAGTGAGCGTAGCGAACGAACTTCAACCAGGACGTGATTGAGCCATGCGAAAGAGCTCACTTATAAAGTTAAACGGGGCAAAGCCCGCGGGTACAGCTAGTCCTATATAAAGGCCTTAACACAATTTATACCTCAAATCTGTTAAAAAACATTTATTAATTATCTGTACACTATAATTGACAAACTCCCACACTTTAAAGGTTTATCTTTCAAAGCGATATTGACGAAATAATACAGAAATTACTAAAACCTGTTTGCTTATTTAACTTTTCAATTTCAGAACGGTTCAATACTTGGCTGCATTCAGGTTTAAAAGAAACAAAGAATTTCGACCATACAGAAAAGTATTGTTTGCCTTTTTTTCAATTCAGAACGGTCCTGGCTTTGGACGTTTTGTAACCAAGTATTCAGATTCATAAGTGATCGTTTCAACAGTTTGGTGAATGCACCCATCTACAATGCATCCTGTTAGCTCTCCATTGTCATATTCCAGACCTTCGAAGCGTCCCTCGCTCGACCGACTTTCAGCTTTCACAGCATTTGTTTACGTGAAAGCTGCTCTCCGTTGCGTCACTTTCTTTCTGGCTCTCAACTTGTGGGTGGAAACTGGAAATGTTTCAGTCATTGATTTTGGATACTCAAATATACAGATACTCAAATATACTCAGAGAGACATAGGAGTTCGAGCCTATCATAAAATCATACTCAATGTGCCATTGATGTTCTTCCCTTTGATTCTGTATTTTGTAATGTGCTACTTTAGATTTTTTTATTTGTTTATTAACATATGTTACATCTGTTTTGCTTACATTTTTGTTGTTATCTTGTACATACTGTCATGGCAACCATTCAACCCATAAATAAGGCTCATGTTGAATTTTTAGAAATTGAAATTAATTTATGGAAACACCCTGTAGTCCAATTTGTATAATTTAAGATTTATACCTTCCCTCAGTTAGTTTTTAAGAGCTTCGCACACTCGGCTCAAAGTATATTTAGAAGGTTGGTAATTTATATTTAAATTCTGGAAATAAACTTAACTATATTGAAAATAAACAGCAACCCTAGCATATTACTGGTTGTGGTTGGATTTTGGAAATATAACTATCAGTCGTAATCCAAATATACCTTACCTATTTTCGTGTAATTCGTATAGCTGGGGTTTTTTATTATTTTTTAATGGTATCCTAATTTAATGGGACATTATTCTTGAATTATTTTTATAAGCACTCCAATGTTAGCATATGCCCCCACTTTACACTTCATCATTCATAGCTTTTGGTATGATATAATATGCTTAACATAAAAGCTATAAACATTCAGCGTTTGTGACACAAATTCAGCATTTGGATAAAAATGAAAAGACGTACTAAGGGTTAACATTTATACTATGTGTAATGCTGATCATTGATACGTTCAATTCTTCGGTAAGAGGATGACAGATTAATTAAATATAAATAATAAAATACTAGGATGTTCAAATTATTTTGTAAAGCAAGCTTTGATTTTTTAGTGCAATATAATTTGTTTTAACTAACAGCTGGTTGAATATAAAAATATTCTATAGAACGATTAGGTTATTTTATTTACTCTGATTTGGTCATTGATTATAGGAAATAAGTAAGATTAGTAGATATAATTAGACCACAGAGATAAGTAAAACCATTGTTGTATACAAATCGAGGCTCTGTACACGAGTCTTAAAAGAAAAGGATATGCAAATCATTTTACTGCTCGACCTTTTCAGGAAAGAGTTGGAAAATAACAATATTTACATGTAGGCCCTACAGTTTAAATGGACTGCTCGATTCCCATACGTAGGACGGGCCAACAGCTCGTCATAATAAAGATCTGTTGTTGTATTTTTCTGTTGTACTTCAAACTTTTAACATATTTTAGCTCTCTTCAAAAATGCTCAACGACTTTCGAACTCGGTCCTTCTACTGAGAAGAGCCAGTAATAAGCGTTTAATTACTCTGGGCTAACAGGAGAGACGGAGGTGGTAAAAGTGACCAGTCGACCTTGAAATACTGGTTACTCTACTTTCTTCGTAAGCTCTACTTTTTACAGATTCATATCATATCGTATATCAGCCTACGCTGCGAAAGACTTGGATCATAGCCAGGGCTTTCGCCGGTGAAATAATCCTTACATAGAATTCTGCAAGGATTCTATAGGTCTGGTCTGCTGTAGGCAGGTCGCAACCGTGTCATCGTGAAGTATTAGATGGTTTTGACAGCTAAAAAGTCATCTAATTTATCCCATTTAATGTAGTTTATGCTAGGGTTAGAGCTCGTACACGAGTTAATTTGCATAGAGCTCAATGGTTAACACAAAGAGAGCATTTAAAAATGTTCTAGACACGTGATTTTCTCAACAAATGCTATAAAAAATACACATTTTTATCATTCTATTGAGAATAAGGTAGGTATTAAATATGATGGGAATGATAACGGTATACTGACAAAGGCTCTATAAATACTTATACACTACTTATACTTATGTACTTTATGTACTCATATTTATGTGTATCTCTCCATACTGGTGTAAGCTCTTTGTACTGATATAAACTATCCTTACTGATACTAGGTTCCCATACACAAATGTATGATACGGAGGCTTTTTTAGATTCTTCATAGATGTAAACTCTTTGTGTTGGGATAACATTTTTATGTCCATATTAACCCTTTATAAATATATAAACTCTTTATACTAATCTTCTATTCACTATATATCGATATAAACTTCCCATACTAACATACCCGTTCTAACACTTCTCCATATTGAGATGAACTCTCCATATAAGAAAATTGAAAATTGCACTTCAACGATACAGAGATACACTCTCCATTCAGACACATACTCTTCATAAAATGACATAAACTCTCCATACTCCAATATCTGTCTTTGAAGGTAAACTTTCCATACTAATTCTTTAAACTGATATAGTGACAACCCTTGATGAACTAAGATAAGCCAATGCAACTCAAATTGACCACAAGTTGTATAATCTTTTCAAAAACGAAGTAAAGTATTACTTATCTTCAACCAACAACTCAGTGTTATTTAGTTGTTTAGTTGACAACTTTACAACTAAATAACACTGCCAGGATTCAATTTCACGATTTTAACGTCTTATAAAGCCGATATCAATGGATCTTACAGCTAATCCTGGAGCTTTGGATGTTTTAGTTACATAACAGCCTAATCATATGATGTGAGAAGAAACGAAGTGTTACCCCATCGTTCACTCATCATATATGACGACACTTCAATTGTAATACGATGACACTACCTTATTAGGTTAAGAGGTAACTTTCTAATTTATTCTCCAAATCATCATGTGCATATTATAAGTGCGCGAAATAAGTTTATTTAACACTTTCGGATAGGCTGTGTTAAACTGTTAAAGTACACCGCACTTAAATTTGGAACATAAACAGCTGTCCATACCTGTCCGACCTGTATAAATATATCGATTGTATTTTGATCATGATTCGGCCACAATACATCAATTTCCACTATTTTCATTTGGCCAAGTGTATGGCAGAGACATGTGGCTTGACTTTTGTTTGGACGTTTTGTCTTAGCCAAATAGACTTTTCCATAACTGTTACATGGTTTGCATTATTAGTTTTCTAAACATTTGATCTTTTGTTCGCTAAAGTCTTCGTTAATACTGGTGACTTCTAAATGAGAGCTTGTTGATCCAACATCCATCCAGTTAAAATGAAAATATTACTTTGATTTACAGTTCCTTGTTGGTATTGGAATTGGGTCGTGCATTAATTGCGCCAAAGAGTTTCTTAATTGCGCCAAGCCCTCAAAGCAACAAATGTTACTTAGTTGTGCAAAGCCCAAGCCAGGTAGGGGAGAGTTGCCAGCAGAAGGATGTCCTTGTTTACGTGTTATCCTAACATATCCTAACCTAACCTAACTTATTCTAACCTACTCAATTATGGGGAGCGAGCTGGTGCAGTGGTTAGAGCGTGGAACTTCGGTCCTTGGGATCCTGGGTTCAAATCCCGCCAGATCACCAATGGATTTTAAGTAATAATGCCCCAACCCCTAGGTCTAGCCTGAAGTAATGTGAAAATCAATCCTACAAAACCTACTTAATTATACAGTCAAAGAGGGCCGCCACTTGGTGCAGTTAATGAACGTATCGGGTGGCTCCCTGGAGGAGTTGGCGTAATTCAGGAATACCCAACTACCTGACTTAGGTCAGTTGGCGCAATTAATGTCCACCCTTGGAAATAATAGGTTATCTACTTGAGGAATTTTTTGGAAATGAAATCTCAATAAATTATATTTATACAAAATTACCAAATAATGTTCCCGACATTTGGCGAAGAAGTGCTTCAAATGTTAACCATTTTCATTTGAATTGTGCAAACTAAACTGATGTGATACAATAATATTTTTGAAACGTTTTGAAAACATGTTTAGTTTATATAATGGAAACCCATACTTCTCCAAACCAACAGAACCATTAACAATCACTGTAAAGAAATATAACCAACAACAGTCTATCTAACACAAACAAACAGTGAAACCTGAATTCACAAACCAAGACCACCGAAGAAAGACAGTGAAAGTAAATCAAATCTATTCCGGAACCATGACCACTTTTCATTTCTGCCAGTGAGTCAAGGTTGTAGAGAGTGGAAAGTCTACGGTTTGGACCGTTACCTCTGACTCATCGTCAGGTGATAAGAGCAACGACCTTATCACTGTTATGGTAACTGGAGATCACACGCAAGGGAGTATAGACCGTGAGAGCGTGGTGGTAAGGGTCAAATTTGCATACTTTAATAATTGCAATAATTGCATCATTAGCTACTGTCTGGAACGAATGCTTTCTGTGGTTAGCTTAGCTAATTGAGAAATATTTTTATAAACTGTGTGTTTTATATTTTAATCCCGTTATAATGATGTATATTTGATTTTATTTACAGAAGAAAATAGTATGTACCAAATTATAGTTGGTAACATAAAATAATAACAAATTGTCGGTAACAAATTACAGAGTCTATATAATAATAGGCAAGCATGTTTCTTCAAAACCTTTTTCTCAGCTCGTGTACATTGCAGGGAAAATCTACCCACACTGTTAGAAAGATGATTTCTTATAGATGTGCAGAACTTTTATAAATCATAACAGACTAAAAAGCACAAAACACGACTTTTTAATTTAAAAAATTAACATGGGCTTACGGGTTGCCATGCTGGTGACGAAATAACATAGAAATATAAACAGAAAATCAAAACAAACGGAAGGAAAACAAACACTATCACAGACTAAAAAAGAAATTCAACCTTTTTCTAAATTACTGCAAAAAAGTCATAAAACATTTTTGGATTCATAATAGTTCCTACTAAGTAGACCATATTCTAAACGAATCCTTCTAATAATAGGCAAGCATGTTTCTTGAAAACCTTTTTTCTCACGTCATGTGCATCGCCGGGAAAATCTATGCATACTGTTAGAAAGATATATGCCTTCAGATGATAGGTTAACAATAAGCATGAAAATTAATATAAATATAAACAAATTAACATGGGCCTTATGGGTTGCCATACTGGTGACGAAATAACATAGAAATATAAACAGAAAATCAAAACAAACGGAAGATAGCCTATTCACATGTTTTTTTTTACAGCGTGGGGTAAAAATAGAGAAGAGTGTACATTACATACTTTTGGTCGATTTTTCAACCACTGGACGACCTCTAGTATATTTTATTAGATATTTTACTTTGCATAATTTAAATTTATTTTCATAGTAATGGAATCAAATATAAATTTTGGATAATGTCACAAACCTGTTTACATAACAGAATAAAAGTACGATTTCCTTGTATCATGTGCAATACAAATTATAGTGGTTATGGTAGTTATAGTGATTATGGTAGTTAGTTATGGTATAACTTTTATGTCATGATACAAGCAAAGTACAAGTCCTCTGGTCCTCTTATGTGATATAATTCGCGTATTGTATAACGTCTCATTGCTATTTTACTTTACCTTTTATGTTTGCAAACCTTCAATAAACTTTTATTTGAAATTCCATTGTTGATTCACATTGAAGACATTAAGAATGTTTTCAACATATATTATTCAACTAGTCCCCTACAATTGTTTTTATTAATGATTGTAATACACATCTAAACTATTTACTGTACTTTTTCTTACCTTTTTGAGATATGATACTAGACAAAAAGTCATAAGCTTAATTACTTGTTAGCATAAATAGCACAGGTATTACTAATTGGTTAAACACAAAGTGTAACCAGCTAGTGAAAAAATCTACATTATTTGTATTATTAATCAGTTTACCAAACTGATTAATTATCCCATTACATATTGTTAAATCGTACAAATTCCATCTAATTCATGTTTCTTTTAAATAAATTACATAGTCACTTTTGTGTGCAAATCAACTAACACCTCAGAACTATGTGTCTTGATGTAACCTATGCTGTAATTACACGAAAAACCCGAAAAATCCAATAAAATACTATTAAATTTCAACCCAAAAACATTGTAAGAAATAATAAATTTACCAATTGCCCTATGAGAAAGTAAAAGTTTATAAAGACTTAATTTCTGTAGAATATATTTAAATATTTTATATGTAAGACTTAAGTATTTTTACAATTCCTATTCTTACCTGTGTGCAAAACACTTAAGTGGTAATTAAAAAAAAAAAGTATTACTCTGGTACTACTTGTATACAATAAAAACCACCTCAACTGGAATTGTATTATTATAATTTTTTTCAAAATACCTAATTTCCGATTCTTAACAGTATAGTTATTTTATAAAATTCTTTATTAAACAATGTTTTCAGAAAAATATATATTTATGCCTAAAAAAATTCTAAAATTATTACAATACCATTTTTTTAACCATGCTAAAAATTTAAAAATATTCGTAATGCAATTTAAACAAATATTACTATTGGCAATAACCTGTAATTCCTAAAACATTATAGTTTCTTTACCTGAGATGCCAGCCTGGGCGCGAACTCCTCCGAGCGTTGCCAGGACGGCGACCCCGGCTAGGACGAGTACTCCGGTAGACACCATGGCAAGGACGGTCGAGTGTAGACTGGCGGAGCACTACGGCCGCCTCCATCCGGGCCACTGGGTCAGAGGAGGGGACGACCGTCGATCTGCTTTCCTTCTGTGGACTCGGTAAAGCCGTCATAGTCTGGTACTGGTCTAGTCGGCTAGCAAGTCGTTGCGGTAGTAATGCTTTTATTCCAGAGAATTATTTGAGGGACTGAAAACAAACAGTATCACAGACTATAAAAGAAATGCAACCTTTTTCTAAATTACTGCAAAACAATTACTGTATAACACATTTTTTTGATTCATAATAATTCCTTAGAAACCCATACTCTAATCGAATCCCTCTCTTAATAGGGAAGCATGTTTCGTTAACACATTTTTTCTCACCTCATGTGCATCGCCGGGAAGATCTAGGCATACTGTTAGAAAGATATATGCCTTTAGATGTGTAGAATCCCTCTTATAAATCGAAATATGCACTTAAAACGTTTTTATCAATTTGTCCAAAAAATTATCAAGATAAGAAAATTCTCCATCCAACTTAAAAATGATATTCTGGAATGCCTTTACTATAACCTGAACAAAAATATAGAAGAACATATGTACAATGGAACACAATATAACTCATAAAACCCGAGCCATAAAACGCCTCCCCCAATCTTGATACCTACAGGAGAAGAGCAGCAATGCCAGCACTAGTATACATACAGCCCATTAAAAAACATGTTGGTTTAGCATCGATGGGTTTAGCTTGTGACGAAATGATGTATACATAATGCAATTAATTGTGTTCTATTTCTGAATTTTGGGTTGACCATGGATACTTTACTGTAAAGTTAACATTCCGTTAAAGGTTGAGTTAAAGGTGATAGTAATTTTTACCATTTGAATTGAACATCCAACAGAGTTTTCTACAAACTTTTGTAACCAGGCCAAACATGTTTATGATTATAAAATGTTTGTATATTTACATCCTACTTGGATGTGTCTATATTAGTAAGATATTAAAACAGTTACAGTAGTAGCAAGTATTTAAAAACAGTTTATATTTTTTAAATTTTCAGTCATGACTGTGAGAGTGAACATAAAAAACATAATTATTGCAGGATTTTGAACAAATAATTTCTAGTATTCATTAGAATGGAGAGTGATTGTTAAAAGTGGTGGTACTCCATTTGTAGTTGTCCACAATGCTTTAAACAATTTGTTTAAAAGCGTCAACAAAGCGTTTGTATGGAAACCTATGTTTAACGTTGACATAAATCATCTTTCTTTTGTCATTTAGAACATTACTCTACTATTTAGTTTTGACCTTGAAAATCACTTTAGGTAATTAAAAACAGCACATCCGCCCCTGTATATTTTTCAAACACCGGTAGATCCTCTTCAGAAAAGGTTTGTCCAAAGTCTGTTGGAAATGAAACCTACTGCGATTCTAATTTTGTCGGTTTTACTCCTAGTTTTGGTAAGTAACCGAAAATATGTGTATATGCTTACCACCTAGCTTACTAACTTGATTGCTTTTCATAATATCATTTAAGTTCCATTGATTAGAGATGTCGATATGAGACACCCCATAACCATAATGAAATATGAAGCAAGAAGTTTCAAGTCCGGTAATATATTGCGACCTTCCTGTATTTGATCGTGGAACTTCAGTGAATGTTAAGCCTGGTTAAACACACTGAAGCTGGTCTTGGAAATAGGTTCACTTCGGCAGGTTCCTTATATTATGAAACCTTATGAACTTTAGTAGGCCTAAGATAAATTTGAAAATCATATGGTTCAACTCAGCTGTTAAAGTTAAATTGTTGTATAATCTTGTCTGTCATTCCATAGTATTACTGTTTCGTTTATGTGATTATTTTTGTCCTTTGTATGTTTAAGAAATAAAAGTATTTTAATGTCTGTGTAGCTATGCAAAAATGGTGTATCCGTAAATACAAAAAAATTAAAGAAATAAATGAAGCAGAAGCTGGGTATTTCATTTGGAGTGGGGAGGGTATTTGGGGTTATGATGACCTTCAGTAGAAAAAGGTGTTTGATATGATTGTTGATGTAGTTGTGGATGTAGTTAATTTAAGTATGTATCTAGTTTGTTTTGTGTAATATGTTTTATCTGAGTTTTAGCGCCTTTGGAATCTTCAATCCATCTAACTTTGTCACTTTGTATAAGCTTTTTGCATCTAGGATCGAACTAGTAACATTCAGATTTGAAGGTGAAGACGAGCACATACGGATACTCGGTTAACCAGATAACAGGAGTGTACAGTTTAAGATTCACTCTTGCGAAAGTTTATTTGCACAAGGCCGTGTGGGATGGTAAGATGTTATGTGTAGCTGCGATGTACTAAAATAGGCTGCTTCGATAGCCAGGATATATTTTACTAGTTCATCAATCGATCAATTGTTTGTTCTGATTGTTCTGTCCGATGGACGCAGGTTTGCTGCAGCATGCTGTCTGCTGACGCCGCTGCTGAACCTTGCCGGTCAGGGAGATGCTGCCGCAGATGTAGACTACGTAATGAAACTTCAGCAACCACTGCGAGGGTAACTGTGACTTCTGCTAGACCTACCCTGACCACCCAGCGTCCCCCGGTGTATACTTATGTTAGAGGTAAGCACTATGCGGTAATCAGCTGTGATGAGTAAACAATCAGCTGTCTGCTGTTTTGAACAAGGCAACTGTAATTGTAAGTGACTAGGTGTACAATAAAGCTGTCTGATTGCAATATTGAGCGGAGCTAATTAATCCAATACTTTTCCATAATCAATGCTTAATCTGTTTCTCGTTAATCCATTTGTGAGCTAAGATTCAAGTTTCAAGTCTCTAGCTCATGGGGAAGTTAGTGTAAAATTGATTGCAAAATTTGTACCGGACAAGAAAGTGAGCTAATTAAAATGTTTGAAAATATATAACAACCGTAATAGTATATTTCGTACCTAGGGCCGAAAATGAGGTTTTGCCGGCTCGAGGTAGTTTTTATCGATCGAGAGCTGCAAAACCATTTCGGTCCGTGGTACGAACGCTATTTTTCACCACACTATACCCTATTACCACTATTCACCACTATAATAATGCACACTGATAGTCAACACAACTACAACTTTAAGGTTATGTGAAGAAATAATTTGAGGAATCAGTAAAAATAAAAATAAATAGTTGCTAGGCAACGGTGACAATACCACAATTCTATTGCAATGCTATCGATTTTGATTGTGTATTTTAAATGCATTCATGTTTTAAGTAAGTAAGCGGACAGCTGATTTTGCGGCCCCGGCCTGTAAAAACCTGCTCGGTCCCCAAATTACGATGACAGCTGGCATGGCCAGCAAAACGTAACTTTCAGCCACCAATTAACGTATGTAATACAGCCAAAAACATCATAGTGTGGTGAAAACAATATTTTTACCGTGAGCAGTTTTAAGACTACTTCAGTCAATCTCCGCTAGATGCTGCTACCGTCGAGGCTCGCGACAGTTCACCTAATCCCCGCTAGATGCATCTTCAACTGATAACACTTAATCCCACTTAATCCACTATAGTTTATATATTACTGATCGATTTTAAACCTTTAAAAAATATAAAAAATAGAAACAAAAATTGGTTTTAGGTACAATGTAGTAAGCTATACATTTAAAGTTGTCCTATTTTCAATCTAAAGCTGTGGTATTTGACAATAGTATATTTTTATTAGTTGATACTCGCAGTGTTCTGTTAGTTTCTCTTACAAGACTACCCTCAACTGGTACATTGTTCATTGTTTAACGCTGTCGCTAACGGTGTGAGGATTAATTGGATTCTTTAAGAAGCCGAGAGTTGTGTCTCTTACCTGAGACCGATGATTGGCTTATAACTCAAATAGTTCGTTCGTTCGTTGTTCCCCGTTAAAAATCAAAATTTTATTGGGCCATTCAACAAATAAGTAATAGGCTAGGTCACAAATTATAATCCTCTTGACGTACAATAGTCAGTCCATAATAATTAAATAAAAACATGCAAAAAACACTAAAATATATATAAAAATACGTTTCTTTACCTGCAATGTTATAACCATATAAAACAACATAAGAAGTAATAACCCAGTCCATAAAGGTTTTGTAATGGAACAAATTAGTGACAAGCAAATCTATATACCACTGAATAGGACACACAAAGATGTACATTGTACAAAAAGTTCCCTGAAATCACCTTAAGACCTTTCCCCTCCACCACCCCTAACATTCATGAATTGCAAAGTTTTACTAAATTACGCACACAACCGATGTGGCTCATTCGTTTACAATAATCTTTAATTCGTTGTATTCCTAAATGAAGTATAAATATAATAAAGTATAGATCCAATACTTTCTCCAAAATGTAATTGATTAGTTAGTAAATCTTTAGGAGTTTCTTAGTAATTAGGATACCTAATGAAGTTTCCTAATGGCCGTTCTCATATTGGCTAGTAGTCATGTTGACAAACAGGAAGTGCTACCAGCGGGATACGAACCAGGTTCATTCGGATTATCAGCCCGACACGCTATCCACTACACCACCGAGGCCGATGGTTCAAAACCGTATCGTTGCGGTAATGGTGTTCCCTCAAAGTGACGTCAGCAGTTAGTGACGTCAAACGGCACCTGAGAAATCTTCCGTGTGTCGTTTCGTTAATCTAATAGTCATAAACAGTTTCCACACTCCGGACAGCTCGCCTTGACTATTTCGTTCACCACTTCCTACGTCGCGGACCTGTTTTCCTCCCTTTCCATAGCATTTTAGGATTGCAAATACCTTAATCTAATGGTCATAAACAGATCCCATACCCCGAACAGCTCGCCTTGACTACTTCCTTCACCACTTCCTACGTCGCGGACCCGTTTTCCTCCCTTCCAATAGCATTTTAGGATTGCAGATACCTTAATATAATTGTCATAAACAGTTCCCACACTCCGGACCGCTCGCCTTGACTACTTCCTTCACCACTTCCTACGTCGCGGACCCGTTTTCCTCCCTTCCCATAGCATTTTAGGAATGCAGATACCTAAATCTAATCGTCATAAACAGTTTCCACACTCCGGACATCTCACCTTGACTACTTCCTTCACCACTTCCTACGTCGCGGA